TGAATGGAATCAAAAGTTATTTACAAAAAATTTATGATTTTTTTTAGTTGGGTGAGCTATGGTAGTAGTAGTAGTAGTAGTAGTAGTAGTAGTAGTAGTAGTAGTAGTAGTAGCAGGAGCAGCAGCAGTAGTAACTGCAGTAGTAGGTACAGTAACGGTAGCAGCAGCAGCAAAAGCAACATCATCTCCGAATACCACCATCACCACCTCCACCAACATCGTCACAAACACCACAAACCACCATCAGTACATTTTGTACAAGCAACATAACAAAGGCAACATCATCCTACCTCAACCATCACCACCATGGCAACCACCACGGCAACCACCACAACCACCATCAGTACCGTTAATGCTACAACAACAACAACATCCTATCACCACCACCACCACAAGCACCATAATCATCAGTACATGTACCATAAACAGAACAACGGCAGCAACACCCTGCTACCATCAATACCATGATCATTGCAACCACAAAAACCACTATCAACAACAGCAACACAACAGTAACACCGTCCTACCACCACCATATCCTCCGAAACCACAAAAACCACCATCAGTACCAGCAATAATACAACACCAGCAATACAACAACAGCAACAATGTCCTACCACCACCATTACCACCACCATCACAACCACCACAACCACCAAAACCATCATCAATACTGTTAACACAACAGCATCTTACCACAACACCACTACCACTATATTCACAACCACCAAAATCACCATCAGTGCCATCAACGCAACAACAGTAACAGCATCCAACCGCCACCACCACTACCCTCACCCTCACCCTCTTCCTCACAAAAACAGCAACATGATCCTACGACCACCACCACCACCACCACCATCACCCTCACACTCATCCTTACAGCAACAGCAACAGCAACAGTACCTACAGCAACAACTAACCTGTGTGTGGTGTCAGCACCGTCCACACTACTGCTCACAGTCCTTCCAGACTCTGCCGTGGTCTGACGAGCCAGCGCACTTCGTCTTTGCCTGCTCAGCTTTCTTCGCCTGCGACGTGCAGAGCCTGAAATAATCGCTTGAGAGGATTCAGATAATAGGTTATGGTGGGGCAACAATGTGGTTTCTTATGAGACTGAGTGGGTGGTTGACGGGTGCTCTGGTGTGGTTCTCTCCTTCTTTCCTATCAAACATCTATCGTCTTTTCTATGTTTGTTACTCCTTTGTAATACCTCTAATCTTCGGCACGTATATGACCTTATTGTGTTGCAAGTGCCGTAAAACTCTTATAAAACTAAACTTATGAGACTGCTGAGAATATCGTGGAAGGAAAAAAATCAAATGGGGCAGTGCTTGATAGGTGATGAAGCCCACGTGGGACGCTCACTGTTAAAAACAATCAGGAAACGACAAATGCGGTTTCTGGGATACCTGAATAGTCAAAGCTCTTAAACATCTAGCTCTCACTGGCAAAATTGAAGGCAAACGAGGCAGGGGTAGGCCCAGATGAACCTATTTAGGGAACCTAAACAAATGGATAACGGGGAAAGATCAGGGAAACGTCGATTTTTTTAGAGCATCCGAGCAAAGGAATGAATGGAGAACCATGATCGCCGATGTCAGCCGCAGATCTGGCACTAGATGAGGATGGTAGGGCAAGGGGTGAGGGTGGTTCAAGTTTGGCGAGGGGTGAGGGTGGGGTGGTTTTGGGTTGGGTGAGGTGGAGTTGAGTGGAGAGGGTTATGGTGGGGCGGGAGGGAGTGGGTGGGTGGTTTAGTCCGGTGAATCCGATTGGCAGTGTGCTATCTGTATCAATAAGATGTGCGTTGAGGTTAAAATATAAATTCCCATGAGGTGAAGATACTCTTGAGTTTTCTCGGTTTTTCTCGGCGCAATGGATTCCAAATTAACACAGCCACCTTTTGGAAGTTTTAGAATGCATAGAAAGGACCATAGTGTGTGTGTGTGTGTGTGTGTGTGTGAGAGTTTGTGTGTGTGTGTGTGTGTGTGTGTGTGTATGTGTGTGTGTGCGTGCTTGTGTGTGCGTGCGCGTGCATTTACAGCAATAACAATACCACCACAATTACCACCACCACCGCCACAACCAACAATAACAACAACTAGACACAACGCCGACACCACCACCACTATCATCACCACCACCACTACCAACACCAACACCACCACCACCACCACCACCACCAACAACAACAACAACAACAACAACAGCAGCAACAACAACAACAACAACAACAATCGTAGGGTATACCTGAGGAGGCGGAGTCGCTGATCTCCGAGGCGGTGTCTGATGGGTATGACAGAGAGCTGGAGGACAGGGAGTGTGTTGTAGCCGTGGTGGGACCGCTAGAGCCTGGAGGGACGGGCTTCTCCGTGAATAGCACCACCAGACGGTATATCTTTGTGGGGTGAAGGTCGGGAGGGGTAGGATCATGTTGAATAGATTAGAATTGTCGTTTGTTAACTCACAGCAGTTTAAATATATACGGTGTCTGATGATGTATTTTTTCGCCCATAAAATACATTTACTTCTATTATTAAAGATTTTGTAAGGAGTGGTGATGAAGGAGGAAACCTGTAGATAGCTAGATACAAAGAAAGAGCGAGAGAGAGTGAGAGAGAGAGA